GTGTGTGTGTGTGTGTGTGTGTGTGTGCGTGTGTCAGAGTAAAATGACCTGATGTTCCCTCTGTGTTCTCTCTCTGTGGACGACAGTAAACCTGACGATGAGTGAGTAACAATGACAGGAAGCTCTGACTGCCAAATACTGAGCTGCTTTATTCATCCACTAACAGGCCTGCTGCCAAATACTGAGCTGCTTTATTCATCTGTAAAACAGGCCTGCTGCCAAATGCTGAGCTGCTTTGTAAATCCATCTATAAGCAGGTGCCAAATAGTGATCCAACCTCTCTCTGTAATTCTTTCAGAGTGTGTGTGTAGATGCTGCTGCTGGAAACATGAACCTGAAACTCTGTGAACTTCCATTTTAAAAAGACCTCGCCTTCATATCCACTGTTGTTGTTTTCTGGCAGGAAAGGGATGTTGGCCTGGTTCGCTCAGGGTTTGGAGAAAGTTGTTCCTCAGCCTGATTTCAAGAACAAAGAGTTGGCAGCAGCCGCTGAGGTAGGTTTCTACAGGACGTCCCTGAGCAGGTTAATGCTCCAGACGTCCTCCTGAGCTGAACCCACACCAGCCTCCTGCAGACAGATGGGGCTGAAAACAAGTCTCACAGATGTTAAAACCTGGATCTAGAGGTTTTTGCCAGAGCAACCACTTCGAGAGATTCGAATCTAAATTGTTGTTGTTCTTGGTTTCGATTCTCAGCCAGTCTTCACCTGATCCACAGAGTTGGACTGGTCACTTCTGGCCCAAATACCAAAAACAAACATGGCACTCTTTTGATAAACATGCAGTCTTCTCCGCATGGTGAAATCTGGATGTGAACCCAAAGTGGCTCATGTGGTAAATAGTGAATATGGCCCAAATAGCACATAACCACCTTTGGCTGACATGCGGTGTTGCTATGGCTTATTTGTGGCGGAGCGGACCACCCCAGTGTCATCAGTCCACACGGTATGTGGGCTGGATGACAGCGAGGCTCTGTGTGTGGGCCACAACAATTTAGCAACGTGGGCCGGACCACATGAGACCAGATCCTGATGCGACCACACGTTACAAACGGTTTCCTCCGGCTGAGCTGCACTAAACTTTGTGATGCTCCTTTAACGTCAGTCACTCACACGGAGGTTTTGGAGGCTTCACTTTGCTGGTGTTGCTTCAGTAGAAAGAAAAAGAGAGAGTAGCAGCAGTCTGTGATCATGGCTGATATGAAACATCATAATGCAGGAGATGAAACTGTGATTGGTTGGTGCTGTTATGTTATACCACACCACCACCAAGTGTTAAAGCAACACGTTAGAATTTCTGTGACCTCAGGTGCATGACCTCTATGCCTGTGTCTCCTCAGGTGCAGCAGGCAGCAGCTGCTCCAGGTGAGAACACACCTGAATGTTCCTGTACACGAAGATCAGACTCAGCTCAGACGTGACTCTTTCATCTTCTCTTCTTTCTGCAGCAGAGCTTCAGGTTAATGTGCAACGAGACGGAGACGCCACAACTGATAACAAGCCTTTCCCACCCAGGTGTGTGTGTGTGTGTGTGTGTGTGTGTGTGTGTGTGTGTGTGTGTGTGAATCATAATTCCTTTATTGTCCAAAGATTGTGAAATTAACAACGTTGCAACAGCAAGAGTGTGTGTGTGTGTGTGTGTGTGTGTGTGTGTGTGTGTGTGATAGAGAATTGTCAATGACAAAATTATCAATATTCAGTCAATAACCATCAAGATATAGAGCCAATATTTATTGTGGGTTTTACGTGTTAAGTTACTACATGGGTTCATGTGTGAGGTTTTAATATTTTCTACATTTGTGTTTGCGACAGGATGATGGACTGGATAAAACACGGTATAGAGAAGATGGTTCCTCAGCCAGAGAGCGATGTTCACCCAAAGACGGAAAGCAACGACAAGACTGAAGCTCCGGCTTCCACTGAAGGTACATTCAGATTTAAAGGTTAATCTCAGATCACCATTACATTTACACCATTAATATTATCATTATTATATTACTGATCTCAGTGTCTCCTACAGCTAAAGCTCCACCTCCAGAACCACCACCTCCCCCGAAACCAGCAGCTGACACTGAGAGGTGAGTAAAATCTATCTGACAACAACTCCCATGATCCTTCACTGCTTCAACGTGACACCAACCTCTGTCTTTAGTTGTTGTTGGGATCGATACGACCCCTAGTGGCAGCAACAGGCCGAGAAAAGGAAACGACTGGTAAAATGCTAGTTAGCCAATTAGAAGGATAAGGAGCTCAGTCACCGTCCCTGCAGACAACACCTCACATCAGGGTTGTTGTCTCTTTACAGTCGAGTTTGGTCAAAAGCACAATCGCTGGTGTCGGTTGACCAGTCGATCAGTTTGCATGGTCGTGTACCGCAACGGTCAGAGGAGGGTGTTTCATTATTCTGTGGGCTGGGAATTGTGGGGGGGTGGTTTCAAAGTATTTTAATGCTTCTTTAATGTTGTTTTTCAATCCACCAATAATATATAAAAGTAGGATTATACATGGTTTTCTATTTCAAAATAAATGCACATTACAGTCCATGTTTTTCTCCATTTTGTGCCTCTGAGTTTAGTTTTAAGTGTTTGTGATTAAACCAGACTAGATAAAGGGACTGAGGTCAAACTCTGTTTTCTGTTGTGCTCTCAGGACGTCCAGAGAAGCAGAGCAGCAGCCTGAGTAGGTGGAAACATGTTTTCATGCTCTAATGTTCACAAATCAAATCACTGTATGGACGGAAAACTTTTACAGCCACAAACAACGAATATAACACAATAGAGGAAAGAAACAGGAAATGTATGAATGTAGGACTTTTCCTGGTGATAAAGTATTTTGACTTTGTCATAATGGTTCTTTCACTGTCACCGTAGTAACATCTTCCACCACTAATGAACAGCTCCTGTCAATTTACCAGCTCAAGCTTCTGATGTGAAGCCTCAGAGTTCAGGACAAACACTTTGTCAATTGAAAACTACCTTTTTTTCGTATCGCTGTTGCTGAACACAGCTCGAGCTAATCACACACAGCCGTTAACGACAGGAAGTAGATTATCGTGCTGGATAAAGTGACTGTGCTCAAACTGTTTTCTTGTTGCCTCCTCAGGTCGTCCAGAGAAGCAGAGCAGCAGCCTAAGTAGGTGGAAACATGTTCATCCATCATAACGTTAGCGTCAGAGCTCACAGTCTAAACTCCTGATTTTGAAAATCACGTCTAAAACGAAAATATTTTCCCTTTCTTTTACCTGACATGCTAGTTAATGTTATGCTAGCTACGATCGGCTGCAGTGGTGGGAAGTAACTAAGTAAACTAACATGTACAATACATGTTTCCTGCAGAACCAACTTTTACTGTGATGCTACGTTTGCTCCGGTGTGTAAAGCTAGCTAATGTTAGCTTAGAAATTGACGTCAAAAAACGTGAAGCCTGTCTAATCAAACAGGAAAGTGACAGATGTCAGGGCACATACACACTTTATAAATACTATTTGAAAGATCTATAACGTCCACACTTTGTGTTAGTGCTGTGTACTAATACAGTCTATGTACTAATACAGTCTATGTAACAACTACACAGTAACTTTACCTCACCTGACAATCAGTCACATGTGCATCATGTCAATGGTTTTGCCTGATGTCCAGAACCTCTAAGTACATTTTTCTTATTATACCTCTGGACCCTCATGTCTGAATGATTAGGAGAGTAGGATTTTTATTCTCAGTGGCGTGTTTTCAGTTTTCATATTGGTACGTTCCCTTTCGTAAAACATCCCAACCACTTGTGAGCAGCAGCAAACATTCACCCGCTGCACGCTACTGTCTGAAGTGAAGAATAGAAGTTTCGGACAGATGTCTCAGTGTGTGTTTGACGTTAACGTTTGTGTGTTGACAGTATGATGGGCAGGATCTTCAATGGCATCGGTCGCATGTTTCCTCAACCTGTACAGAAGCAGGTGAGTTATATTTATGATCTCTCATGAATATGAATCCAAGTGAAAGCAGCAATATGTCATAATTACCATATGTGTTCTCCTATTGCAGGACACAAGCTGTGAAGTGCAGAACAGTGAGTACATGTCCACAGCACATGAACATGTGAACTTGTGAACACGTCACACTGTCATGGTGTCTTAAGGCTAATTCAACACGGTTGTTGGCAGCTGATAGCAAATACTTAGTAATATGACAAAGTCATGACACATACGTGACACCAGGACACACTTCACTGTCGCGTATGGGATGGAAAATGTTTCTGGTCGGAATGAGAAGGTAACTGGACAAACAGAATACATTAAGATTAATAACTGCAAATAAAGATGGACGACACGTCTCCACTTCCTCCCATGATCCAGAAATGAAGCTAAAACGCTGCCATCTTGTGGTCATGACATCATGTGGCATCAGAGTCCTTGTTTTAGTTTGAAACTCCAGGGTTGTGTTCACAGCATTTTCTGCAACTAAGCAACCAACTTTATTTATGAGGCACATTTGAAACAACTTGATTGACCAACAAGAAAACAGCAATACAAAATATATCCTAATACTAATGATAATAACATCTGCTGGGATAATAACATTCTCAACTCGAAAGGAAGCCAAAGAGAAGACAATCTGCTTCCTGTTTACACCACATGACCTGTGTGCGTGAAAGACGTGTGTTTTCAGGTGTGTTACTGATTCGTTGCTTTGTTTTAAAATGAAAATGTATCAGTGCGGACGCAGCCTCAGTCTGTTGCTTTCTCATTAACTGTGTGGAAGTCAGTTCTCTTACTTCTGTTCAGACCAAACTGTTGTCTTCATCTTCAAAGTCTTTTCTCTTACTAAACTTGAGCTTGATCTTTGTCAACACTGTGAATGAGCCGTACAGCTTGGAAGTAAAAGAACAACAGTAACAGAAGATGAAGAAGACTCTGCTTCATCAGATGTGTTTGTAAACTGTTTGGTCATTTGTACGAGAGAAGACTTTAAAGATGACGTCTGACTTTGTTGGTTTGTGCGTCTGTAAGAAGCAGCGTCTTTAAAAAGAAATTTAAAAGCAGCAGAAAGCCTTGAGTTTGCTGACCTCCAGTGGTTAAATGATGCAGTTACAAGGACTTGAAGCTGAGTGAGTCCACCATGACATCACTGTTGGCTGAGGTCACAGGGGAAACTTTCTGTGAAATAATTGATTGGTTTGATTGATCTGTTGATTGATGGGTTGATTGATCGGTTGATTGATTGGCAGGGGCAGGTGTCAGTGAGGCGGACTCTAACCCGGCTGCTCTTCTCCTTCTGTTTCAGGGGGGAAAGGCGGCGAGAGCCCCTTAAAATAAAAGGAGAAGGACGAGCGGGACAGAGTCGCTCACACTGACACTGACAGCAACACTGTAACTGATTGAACCACACACACACACACACTGTAGCGCTAACATGTTGTTCCAGTTTTTGCACATCTACAATGCATAAAAAAACAAATATGACTGAAATGAAGAGCTGACATTAAATACATTTAAATATATGAAATATATTCATATGAAAATATAAAAGTCTTGGATGTGGACTGCTCTCTTTTATAATCTATGCCACAGTAAACTAGCTGCAGGGACAAACTGATAACAGCTCAGCTTCTTACTGTGGCACTGGTGCTTCTTCATTATAGAAAATAACATAAGCTCTTAACATTAGATGTAGAATGGCGGCCGTCAATACTTCTGTTTTTTGCTTTTTAAACTCTTTTGGAGATGATATAAAGGCAGCTAACTCAGTGCAGACATTGTGATTAAAGCATTTTGCTCTGTATTTGTGAAAATAAAGACTTTCATTGTTAAAAAGTGCCTCTGCATTTTGTTTCTTTCATCGGCAAACTTGACAGTGCAGAGTATAGGAATCAATCAATCAATCAATCAATCAATCAAGGGTCTATCACACAGGTATATAAACATCACACAATTCACTTCTGTTGTCTCGTTGTTTTTGTTTTAATCAATTAACATTTTCATTTGTGTTCAAACAGAGGAGCTCACCTTCGATTCAAACTTTTGAGCCTTTCTAACATGGAAATATATTCACGCACAGTTTGTGAGTAAGACACATAAAGAACTTAACACAGATAATCCTCAGCCTCCCTGCTCTTCTCCCATGTGATGTTCAGTTAGCATCGTGCAGCAGAGGACAGACCTGGTGCTGGAGGACGTAGAACAAGACGAGGACGCAGAGACAAAGAACAAAGAGAAGAAGAAGGTGAGTCTCATCTTGTTGAACTAACCACAGACGTGTCTCAGCTTCCTCCCACTGTGCAATATCGAGGTCCCGCCCACACACAGGGACGAATGTTCACGAGTCAGTCTCAGCTGTCAATCATGACGCGTCAGCCTGTTTTTATATCATCAAATAACTAATTAAAACCAAACTGATCACAAACACTTGAACAAACACCAGAGAGATAAGATCGACCTGAAATAACAAAGAACACATTTGAGAAACATTTATTTAACGTCTACCATCTGCTAACATGGAGGAAGCAGGTTTATGACCTATAATGCAGCCAGCCATCAGGTGGCGAACTAGCTAACAGCTTCAGCTAACATGTCGTCCATGTTTATATAAGTCTGTGGTAGTAGCTGCGACCAGCTCCTTTACTTTGAGCACAATGTCTGCAAGGATTTGCTAACATGCTAACGGTAGGAACCGTGGTACGTCACCGGTTACTATGGTTTTACCACAATGAGACTTGGTTGTGTACTATGTTGTTAGTAATCTCCTGTGGTCATTTAAACCTGTGTGAGGCTACCAAGCTTGTGCCATAGTCGAGTAAGACCATGGTGATAATAGCATCAGTGATGTGATATTTGATGGTGATAGAAACCCAACAGAAATGATTCCATGTGGCTGCAGAAAGAGGATCCAGAGAAGCAGGTGGATCAACAAACTTCCAGCATCAAGAAGGAGGAAGGAGAAGCAGTTCTCGCTCAGATGGATGAACGGTTAGCTGCAGCTCTCTCACTGCCTAATTCACTCTGTTTGGATTTTCCCCACGTCCCCCAAGATGAAAATGTCTGTCTGTCCAACCCTTTGGTCCAGAGTGTGTTTTTCCTGAATGTCGGAGCTCTTTCTTGTTGAATAGAGTGCAGCAGGAGCGTCTGGAGGCGGCCCGTGTCGCAGAGGACATGGCCAGGAAGGCAGCGGAGGAGGCAGTCCGCCAGCTGGAGGTGGAGCATTCAGCTAAGATCGTGATAGAAACACTGCCAGAGTCCATCGAGCAGTAAGTCACATAAACCCTCACAGCATGTGTATAAATGTGAACTCTCATCAGTCAAAACCCGACATCCCCCTAAACTGTCAGGAACAGGACCGCCCCACGCACAGCACAGTGTTTGTACTGCTTCTAAAATAGATGCTACAAGGGTTCCCACAGACAAACACACTACAACCTGAGATGTTCTTCAGTAACTGTTGTTTGCTCTCCACAGACTGCCCAACATCCTGGAGGAGGAAAATGAGGAAGACCCTGAGTAAGTCCATCTTTTAGTGATTTGCTGTAAAATTCCCTTTTACTTACACTGCACATGAATTTGAGCACCCGATGCTGCAAAGTTAGAGCTGAACCTCTGGACCTTATATTGCTTCACATCAGCCCTCAAGCTCTGCTGCTGATGCTCCAGCAACTAATGTCTGATTGTCTGACAGGGGGTCTCTGTCTTGTTTGTCTTATGCTGCATGTTCAGGTTGCAGAACCTGCAGGAGGACAGTGACGACAGCATAAACAATAGGAGTCCGGTGGAAATTAAAGTAAAGGAGGAATTTATCAGAGGCACTGCTGAGGAAGAAAAAAAACCTGATGAGTAAGCTCAGGCATATTTTGGTCTGTCCGAACTAGATGATGGTGGTACTCTTCAGTAGCATTCATGAGTTAGATTATCTATTACTCAGCCTCTTGTAGAGATACTGTATGTACAGAACTCTAAGGACCCTCTGAGCACCACCTTGTTTGGTCCAGACCTTCGAAACCAAAATAACAGGTGTGAAAGGCGCCTTGGGCCACGCTCCAGACAAACCAAAAATTAGTCCGACTAAAAAAGGTGGTCTGGGTCCGGAGAGTGATTCAATTTCATCGACCAGCTCTGACTTCCATTATCCTCGCTTTGCTTTTATTAGCTTTGGTTCAGCCAGGACAGGACATTTATACCCCAAACAGTTTTCACCCTATTCCACCCCAGTGTTTCTTCTTGATTACATACTGAGTGGCATCTAGTGGTGAGGTTGTAGATTGCAACGGACTGAATACCACACACCTCACCCTTTCTTTCCAAGTGTAAAGGAGAATCTGTGGTGACCTTCAGGTGACATTAAAACACAAGTTCCTCTCTAGAGTCTATCTGTTCTGGGTTACTGTAGAAAGATGGCAGTCCAACATGGAGGAGGACCCCCCTACTGATGTAACTTGATATGGATTATTTCTCTTAAATGTATTGTACAGATATGATGTGAAGTGAGTGTTATATTCATCTTTTTGACCCCATGTTGACTTCCAACTTCATCATTGTCTGTGTGAACAGACACTGACGTTAATACAGGGAATTCAAACCTGTCTCCACCTGTGAACATACCAGTGTATGGATCATCTTGCTCTCTGGACGTTCATGACACCTGCTCTTATTCATCAGGTGCACGCTCGTCTGTCCAGCTCAAGATGATACAGAGGCTACGACAGATGTGGAACCAGCGTCGGAGAGGAGAGACCTGGAGAGTCCCGTCTCACAGCCAGTCACCCAGCAGCCACAAGCTCCACAGGTGAAGTTCCATTCTGTATTGAACTCCATCTTAAATGATGTGGTGGCACAGGACTGAGGATTGAAAAAGTATCAGAATATATAACATAAAATATTACGATAGACGTCATTAAGAATTTTCTTCTTCATCTTTTAGGGCAGTGAAGCAGCGGCAGCAGCAGCAGATGAAGGTGGATGTGGAGGTGAGAGCTGAAAATTAATTCAGTTAATTTGAGCATCACCGGAATGAGCAACGTAAATCAAATGTATAAAATAAGAAAGGAAATAAAGCTTGTTTGTTTAGTGTCCTTCCTCTTTTATCTTATTTGTGGAACGATCTCTGTAATTCCATAAAAATCAAATCCACCAGGATCTTGTGAAGTTTTCATCTTGTCCCTGACTCTGACTGTTTCTCCGCCCAGCTCCTGACCTTTGCTCTCCAGTACAGAGCTTTCTGCTTCGAATCCCTCGCGCTGCCGAGTGTCTGACGAGCTGCAGGAAGCTGATGCATGACAATTACCTCATCCCTCCTAAGCTAACCATGCCGACCCCGCCGCCGGAGCTCGCCCAGCTGACCCAGGAGCTGTCGCAATTCCGCAAGCAGGCGCAACAGTTCATCGTCAGCCACCTCAGCCGCCTTTGCTTCACCTCCCAGCATCCTCAGCAGCCTTAAGCCCCACCCTCCTCCTGCAGACCTTTAGAGAAACCTCTTAGATATTTATATTTTGTGTAGATCCAAACTTTGACAGTGCCAAACAAACCGTTGTATCTGGAGGTGTCCCCTAACAGCCTCTCTCCTCCCTGTCGTCACTTCCATGACGCTCCACAGCTCTACAGCTAAACGCACTCCAGGTGATCTTAAAAGACGTGGACCCATGTGCTGTGCCAAGCTTTGCCCCTTTGCTGTGTTTCTTCCTCTGGTTAAGTGTTTGTTAGAATTAGCTGACAAACATCTGACAGTTGTGTTTCTGCATTGTCTCTGTTTGGGTGAAGCCCTGACGCTGAAGGTGGAGGATGTGGATCAGGATGTGAGCCTGGGAAAAGGCCTGAACTTCCCTTATATTATCACAACCCCAGAACCAGAGTCCGCTGCTCTGAGTGTCCCTGACGTGCCGCTGTCCAAACTCAGGTAGCACAGTCGCTGTAAACCATCTACACTATTGATCTCTGACCTGGTGGTAGATATTTCAACACCTTAAAACCTTGGAGGCATGATCCTCTTTTTCATCCTGAGATTTTTGTATTCTTCCAGTTTCACGTTAGAAACCTCATCAACACGTCCACTCGCTCACTTCTCACATGGACTCACTCTGACATTTTACTAGGAGGCTGCAGGAGAAGTAAACATCTTTATTGCCTAATGTTTTATCTATTGTCTTCGTCTCATGTCCTCGTGTCTTCCTGCTGTGTCCTCTCAGTTATGCAGATGAGAATGATGATGAACTGACGAGGACTCATCTCAGGACTTGGCCCAATCAGGGAGACCTACTGACTGCAGATGACGAGTGAGAGAAGTTAGACAAACAGTCTGCCCTCCCTTTCTATCATCGACCCCTGTTCTCGTCCATGTCAATTGTCCTGTTTTTCTCGTCCTGCAGGATGCGTCCTCTGTCAGCTGCCAGCGTCGGCAGTGTCGTGGTCCAGGATCGTCTGAGCGAGCTCGTCAAGCTGTTCAGAGGTCGAACTGAGCGTCAGAGAGACCGGCTGGTGGACCCGGACGAGTCGGAGGGAGAAAGTCCAACAGCCTGTAAGAGCTGCCCCCTTGTTTCAGATGCTTCTCCTGTTTTTGGTTTTAAATGATTAAGTCGTACTCTGCGTCCATTTTGTCTGTATTTGTCCACGTCTTCTACAAAAACTACTAAATGAACCTTGGGGAATCAAACCCCCGACATTGTTCACTTTTAAAATGATATAAAAATTCTTTATTGAATTGAATCAACAAGTGTAAGAAGTTTTAAATTCGAGCATTTACTGAAAACTTTATTTGACAGCTAATCATGTCGAAAGGTTCACCTACTTGTTCTGGAGCTCAGCTTTGAGCCCAGCGTTGACGAAGTGTCCTAAAGAAGAAGTCAAATCCATGGACAGTTTGAGCGTCTTTGTTCCCATGACAACTGAGCAAACTCAGTCTGCAGATGTAGACCACGTGATGTGGTTGAACGTTATATTTGATTTGCCAGCTGCTGTTTTTATGGTCGAGTGGGAATGAAAGAATGTTGAGCTCAGACTTTTAAGAACACCGATTACTGGATGAACCTTGTGTGGATGTTCTTTGAGTTCTGGTATAGAACCGTGGATGGAATCATCTGATAACGTTTGTCTGATGTCTGCAGCCCCGAGCAAAGCTCCACCTCCCCCTCCTCCAGCAGAGGAGAAGAAGGAAGAAGCTGCAGCAGAAAAAGATGAAGAAGAAGAAGAGGAAGAAGCAGAGTTCCAGTTTGAACTTCTGGGACTCCCAGTAAAAATTCCCAAACTGCTCAAACTTCCCCCGATGCCCGACTGGCTCCGAGCCATCCTGGAGTATCGCTTCCCCTCCAGCATTGACCCGTTCACCGGTGAGTTTAGAAACAGCTGAACTTCAGATGAGAGCAGGTACATGTTGGGTCATGACCCCGCCCATTCTGATTTGGCGGCAAACAATTATATTGTGTCGTCTCCAATCAATGAATGAATGCTCCAGGTTTTCAAGTGAGTATGTGATAAACTGAATGAAGCTGTTCTGCGTCTGTCTCCTCAGACCTGATCTATGTGATCTGGCTGTTCTTCGTGGTGGCAGCGTGGAACTGGAACGTGTGGCTGATCCCGGTCCGCTGGGCGTTCCCCTACCAAACCCCCGAGAACATCCACCTGTGGCTGCTGGCCGACTACACCTGCGACTTCATCTACATCACAGACATGCTGGTGTTCCAGCCCAGACTGCAGTTCGTCCGCGGAGGAGACATCGTGGTCGGTGGCGTCATCAGAAAATAAATAATATCATTTAGATTTTATTTCAGAAAAATCAAACACAAACATAATTTTTAATATTTTTTTCACAGTGTGATAAAAAGGACATGAGAGAAAACTACATGACGACCGAAAGATTTAAGGTGAGAAATGAAAAGGAAGAGAAAAGACTTTGTAATGAACTATTTGAGTTTGTGTTTGACTTCTGTCACTTTCTCCGTCGTCCGTCTCACACTGGAGACTCACAATCTGAGAAAGCAAAAGTCTTATAAAATAATTAAGTTTAGTGGACGGATAGTTTAAAGACACATAAAGAACTGATTCTTATTTAAAAACCAGCTCATGTGTCATCAGGTCAGGAGAGTTGATGTAATTTCTGTCTTGAAGAAGTTGATTTATACTCATTCATCTTTCAAAATAAAACAGATTTTGACTGATATTTTACTTTGTCTGCTTTGTTTTCATTGTGTTGCAATGTGTGTTGTGTTACAGATGGACGTCATCAGTCTGTTTCCCATGGAGATATTTTACTATTTCACAGGCGTTAACTCTCTGCTGAGGTTCCCTCGTCTGATGAAGGTCAGGACGTTTTTTTCTTCACGTGCCGCTGAACGTTTCTGAACATGAACTGACTCTGTGTGGTTTTTCTCTCAGTACATGGTTTTCTCTGAGTTCAACGACAGAATGGAAGCTGTGATGAAGAAAGCCTACATCTACAGGTGAGGACGTGCAGTAGCTACCCGCAGAGGCAACGTTTGTCTCATGACCACACGTCCGTCCTCAGACTTTATGAAAACTGCTTAATATATGAAAATATCAGGATTTGCTTTATTTGTTTTTAAGCCTGTGTGCTGAAGTTCTGAGATAAACAAAATGTGAGCACAGGACAACAACATAGCCAACAAATCAGCAGTGCACATTAGCGCTCAGGCACCAGCCGAGATTGGACATCTTTCTCTCTCACAGGAATTAAATCAGTGATCAATTCTTGGTTTCAATCTGGAGGAAGTGTAAAAGGTTTTGTGCAGTTTCTGCATCAAAAACAGTCTGAAAACAGGATTTAAAAAAACAAAGTGGTCCAAGAATTGATCCCTGAGGAACCTCACCTGATGTTATTTTAGCACTTGTGTTTCTTTGCTTTAATTTTCATTAAATAATTTACTGTGTGTGTGTGTGTGTGTGTGTGTGTGTGTGTGTGTGTGTGTGTGTCAGGGTGATCCGAACCTCCATGTACCTGTTGTACTCTCTGCACATAAACGCCTGTCTCTTCTACTGGGGTTCGGACTACGAGGGATTAGGATCCACTAAATGGGTTTATAATGGAAAAGGAAATGCGTAAGAACCACGTCCGACCCTGTGAACAATATTTTTTCATGTTGAATTTCCCCCGCCTCATAGAAAAGAAATAAAAACTGCCCCGAACTTATTTATTTATATATTTTTTCACAGGTACATCCGTTGTTACTACTTTGCCGTGAAGACGCTGATCACCATCGGAGGTCTGCCCGACCCCACCACCGTGTTTGAGATCTGCTTCCAACTCATTAACTACTTTGTGGGCGTCTTTGCTTTTTCTATCATGATCGGTCAAGTGAGTTGAAAACTATTCGTTTATGAATTTTCCTGGTTGTGTTAAATTGTATAGATCTACACATACACACATATTACTACAGACACGTGTCATGAGATGATCCTCAGCTTCGTCTCGTGAAGGGTAATATGATATCATTATAATGAATCAAATAAATAAACTTTAGTTTCCTCTGCAGACCTGTTTGATTCACTGATTTTCTGTTTTCACAGACACATTTAGGATTTATAGATTTATTCTATTATTAACAGTTATATTTAATCTATTTAATTACTTAAATATATGCAGTAAATCTAAACCAGCAAAGATGAGGTTTCAGTTCATATTTCTCAGTGGATATCAATCGATGTTCTGCGTCTCTGAGGAATAACTAACTCACTAACCCACTCACTCAATAAATAACTCACTAACTTAGTAGCTGTCTAACTAACTGACGTACGTAATAACTAACAAACACACTTCTTACTTTCTTACTAACTTACTGACTCGCTAGCTAAAATATTTGGTTAGCATATATACATATTAACATGCCAGCTAGATAAACAAAGTTACTTACTTCATTTCTAACTTACTAGCTAGCTAACTAACTGACTTACATTCTTACTAACGAACTCACAAACTCACTAACTTGACATCGTTGGTGTTTGTGGACTCAGATGAGAGATGTGGTGGGAGCAGCCACCGCCGGTGAGAACTATTACCGGGCCTGTATGGACAGCACCGTTAAGTACATGAACTCTTACAACATCCCCCGAGAGGTTCAGAACCGCATCAAGACCTGGTACGACTACACCTGGAAGATCCAGGGTATGCTGGGTAAGAAGGAGGAGACCCCACTGTGTGTCGTCAGAGTGATGAAGGTCTGAATCGTGAGAAGACATGCAACAGAGATGTCGATACGGAGTGCATGCTGGGAAGTCTGCTAATACGTGGATTATGTTTTCAGGTTGCGTGTCTGTCCCATTTTTGTGAACACGATATCTCAAGAGCGCTTTAAGGGAATGGATTCAAATTTGGTGGTTAAAGGTCAAATGTATGTAGACCGAGCCGCTCTAACCCTAAAACCAAAGGAAGCTAATGTTAGTTTTTATAATGAGATATTAAGTTGTCGCAAAAATTAAGTTACCCCAACTTTATATATATATATATATGTGCTTGGGTTTTGTGCAAAATGTAATATGCACATTGAGGCAACATAGATATCACAACCTGACGTCAGTTCAATGTTAATTTTAGCTTCGACTCGTCAATGTTTAGACGTGGTTTAAACTTTCTTTTCAACTGAGACGTATGTTGGGTGACCATAATGTATCTGAGTCACTTCAGTTCATCAGAACAAAGTTGAATTAAGTTGTTTATGATGAGTTTAATGAAACACGTTGTTCTGTCTCTTTAAAGACGAACAGGAGCTGCTGATTCAACTTCCTACAAAGATGAGAATGGACATCGCTGTGGACGTCAACTACGCCATCGTCAGTAAAGTCGCCCTGTTTCAGGTCAGACACAACACGAACATACAAACATACACACACACAACACACACACACATTCAAAGTGTAGATTGTTTGTACCTTGTCTAAAACTAAAGGTGGAAACTTGTCTCTGCTGGTTTGTGTTTTCATCTGTGTGTATCTGTTGTGTGTCTGTTGTTGTGTCTGCTTTGTGTTTGCTGTTGTGTATCTGTTGGTGTGTGTCTGTGGTGTGTCTCTCAGGGCTGTGACAGACAGATGGTGTTCGACATGTTGACGAGGCTCAAGTCCGTCGTTTACCTGCCCGGAGACTTTGTCTGTAAAAAGGTGAGACGACACCTGAGTGGTGGGGGGGGGGTTTGAACCTGTGACTGAGCTGACTGTGACTGCGTGTGTGTGTGTGTGTGTTGCAGGGGGAGATTGGCAGGGAGATGTACATCATTAAACAGGGGGAGGTCCAGGTGGTGGGCGGTCCTGACCTACAGACTGTGTTTGTCACCATCAGAGCCGGCTCGGTGTTCGGAGAAATCAGGTCAGAGCCGCTTCCTGTCACCTGTCATCCTATTAACTGCTTATACACCTGGGTGGGGGGGGGGGGGGCAGCACTCACACCATTTACTGGTGCCTCATTAAAGTCAGTGATCTGTACATTGTGATGAACCAGCAAACGTCATCAGGAGTTTGAGTTCAAATTTGAGACGTCAGTTTGCAATTTTAATGTGCGTGAAAACAATAACTGTTTTGTTTATTTGACAAACATACTATCTGTGAATAAACACAGATATTCTCTCTCTGATTGGTCAGTTTGTTGGCGGGAGGTGGAGGGAACAGACGTACTGCCAACGTAAAAGCCCACGGATTCGCGAACCTCTTCATCCTGGACAAGAAGGACCTTGCAGAGATCCTCGTTCACTACCCAGAGTCCCAGAAGCTGCTCCGCAAGAAGGCGAAGTAAGACGACGCCCCGTCACAGGGACCATCGTCAATCATACAGTCATAACATCAGACATGATGTTGACTGTATATAAAGACGATCAGCGACTGTATAAAAACACATCAATGTACCATCTTAATGTGAGTTGATTGATCCAACGGCAGATCCTCCATCTAAAGGTTTAGTTAATATAAAACCTTCATGGATTCAAAAGTCAAAGACCAGTAATTGTTTTTATTTTTTATCGTAAAGGTCTTTGGTAAAAAAAAGAGATTTTATTTTTGCTGCGGTGCCACGAGTTACCACTGGGCCCGATTAGCAGCAGGATTTAAATTTTATTGAATATAAATGAAAATAAACTTCACGCACTTCGCTTCATGTTTGGCTGAGACTCCGCCCTCTGCTCACCTTCCGTCTCGTCGTCCACCTGATCTGTCTCCTCTGTCCTGAACAGGATTAGACTCGTCTCTAATCTTTTCATTGGTTCGTTCTACTTCTCGGAGCAGACAGTTGGGGAAGCGGGTCGGATCAGTGCAGCGATCCTGCCGCTCGGCTTCATGTCCTCAGTCGGATCATGCTGCTGCAGCCGAGCGGCTGGATTTGCTGCAGGTGCTGTAGGTGTTGGTACGAGGCCTCTGTAGCTTTAGTGTTTGTAGGTCAGCTTCTTCTTTGTATTTGTGGTTGTTCATCTGTTTGTTTAGAAAAACATGTTAATGAGCTTTGTACTGTTTAACACTGTTTGTCTGTGTTTGTGCAGGAAGATGTTAACGAAGGACAAGAAGCCGGATGAGAAGGAGGGAGGTAAAGAGGCGGTGGAGGTCATCCCACCACGACCAGACACCCCCGAGATGTTCAAGGCGGCGCTGAAGGTGGCGGAGCAGGCGGGGATAGAGGGAACCTTCGTCAAACTGAAGAAGGCCTACAAAGCCTCTGAGAGCACAGCAGAGGTACGACACACACCACCTGTTGTGTTTTTGACTTTTAGACTTTTTATTCATATTTTATAACAAAACGGTGTCATCTGGAAACTCGTCACTTTTCAAAGAAATTTAAAACATTTATTTATTTGGATTTTAAATAGAGTGTAAAAACCAAAAGAGATTAAAGAAATAAAATGTAAAATATAAACGTGAATAAGAAACTTCAGAGGAGCTGGATGTTAGATTATGAGACTGTGGGCATGGAGGCTGCTCGGAGACCAGAGGATTAATCAGTGGAGCTGAGGGCTGTTAGCTGATTGATCCTCCAGGTGCCCACTAAGACTAACTGGCTAAGCCTACAAAGCTAGCAAATCTGTTTCCAGTCTTCGTGCTAAGCTAAGCTAAGCTAACCAGCTGCAGCTTCAATATTTTTCAGAACATTGTCACAAATTTTAGTAAAATTAAAAAAAATCATTCTAATGAGACGAATAATAACAATTTAAAACATTTTGAACGTGGAATGTTATAACAATGGAAGGAGAGACGTAAAAGAAAGAAACATATAAATCCCTCTACTCCCTTTTGTCCCTCCCAGGGTGCCTCCTCCATCTCTCCCCTCCCGCCTCCCTCGCCGATTCACCGGCGCTCTCCTGTTCCTCACTTCCTGGTTAAGGACGAGGACGACACGGTGGCGGAGACAGCTGACAGCTCTGTCGTCATCCGGATGACGCCGCGACAGGAAGGCGAGGAGGTGCTGTCCGTGGAGGTGCTGCCCAAGGAGGGAGGAAAGGAGTGATTCGACAGGAAATCCTCACAGGACTCCTCCTTAAAGAATCGCTCTGCTTCCCAGAATGCCTTTCACTGAAAACCCAAGGGGGAACAGGAGATGCCCCAGTGCATTTTGGTCTCATCTGTTTCTTCTTCTCTGGAGGTTTTCTCTCAGTTCTATTACTTTAAACTAAATATCTCAAAAAGGTTTTTCAAACTTGGCTTCAAATGCCCCCCTTCCTATTTTCTCTTTTCCATCTTTTCGTACTTTTGTTCAAACAGTGACTCCGTAACTTTTTTATGTGGGTTATGATCATAGTCAGTTCAGGCTGCAGTTCCACATTTGACCACAAAGACTAAATGACATTTACCAGCCATTTCAACACAGGGTGGCGCTGTTTCTCACATGTGAGGTAACTCACTGAGGCCGCAACAACAACATGAATGTGTGTGTTGTTCTGTTAAAGACTGACCACAAGTCTTTGAACTCAATTTCCCAGAACCCCTTGCTTCTGTGCTGCAGCTTTGGTGCTTCTCAGCGAAGCCACTGTCTCACTGTGGCGTTCACTGAGTTTGTTTTAGACGCAGCTTCATGTTGAATAGTGATGATGATGATGATGATGATGATGTAGACATCAGAGCCGCGTGAAATAAAACTCAACGTACACGTGTGTCATGTGTTCGTGGTCAGAACACGTGTGTTTGATTATGCGTGTTAGTCAGCTGTGATCGTGTGTTTCCTGTTTCCACTGTGAACCAATCAATAACTGTCTGACACAAACTGAGCTCGTATTGATTTCACTCCAGCAGCGTCCAGGTCATTTAGGATAGCCTGTGTGTGTGTGTGTGTGTGTGTGTGTGTGTCTGTTTTTTGTTAAAGGTCAACACCGTCACCACTTTATTTTGAAAGTTACAAACATATTTTAATTTGAAATATGATTTGCGTCATCCTCCTCCAGTCTGTTTTACCAGTTCACTGCTGTTAGATGGCACTGCTGAGCTTTCTGTTGGACAAATCCAGAGCTGCAGAGAGAAACGTGTGGTGCCTCCCAAACCAAGTATGGAAACTGTGTGTGTGTGTCTATGTGTGTGTGTGTGTGTGAGAGAGAGAGAGACAGGAAAAGCTTCAGGAAGCAGAGGAAGCTCTTATTGTGTCGCTCTGAGCTGAAGGGAAAATATAGAATGAGAGAAGGAGGTGAAGCTGGACACAGGAAGCGTCATCACTGCTGATTATTTGACAGTAGAAGAAGAATGTACGACATCATAGAGCTGCTCTGCCGCTGTGCGTTCACGACATCCTGGAGCGAACAAGGCACTGCAACAAGTTTTTAAATAAAATGATTTAAAGTGGAGCTTGTGTGTGTGTGTGTGTGTGTGTGTGT